ATATAAATCTATATATATACACACACACACACACACACACACACAGAGAGAACATGAAACAATGGGTGTACCATACACACTATAAGGAGAGTGATCTATTAAGGTGAGCTATTATCAGCAGGAGAGGAAAAAGAACTGTTTGTAGTGGTAATGAAAATGGCCCATTTCCATCTGTGGCATGTAACCTACTGCTTAAATCAGCCTCTGTACCAGATGAGTGGAAAACAGCTAATGTGACACTGATTTTTTTTAAAAAGGCTCCAAAAGCTATCTTGACAATTACAGGCCGGTAAGCCTAACTTCAGTACCAGGCAAATTGGTGGAAACTATAATAAAGAATAGAATTATCTGACACATGGATGAACATGATATCAGGGAAGAGCTGACAGCTTTTTTAAAGGGAAATCATGCCTCGCCAGTCTATTAGAATTCTTTTAGGGTGTCAACAAGCACATGGACAAGGGTGATCCAGGTGATAGTGTACTGAGACTTTCAGAAAGCCTTTGACAAGATCCCACACCAAAGGCTCTTAAACAAAGTCAGCAGTCATGGGATAAGAAGGAAGGTCCTCCCATGGAGCAATAACTGATTAAAAGATAGGAAACAAAGGGGAGGAATAAATGGTCAGTTTTCAGAATGGGGAGAGGTAAATAGCAGAGTCCCCTAAGTATCTGTACTGGACTAGTGCTGTTCAATGTATTCATAAATGATTTAGGAAAGGGGGTGAACAGTGAGGCGATCACGTTTGCAGACAATACAAAATTACTCAAGATAGTTAAGACAAAAGTTGACTACAACGATTTACAAAGAACTCTCACAAAACTGGATGAGTGGGCAACAAAATGGCTGCTAGAATTCAATGTTGATGAGTGCAAAGTAATGCACATTGGAAAACAAAAACTATGCATATTAAATAATGCACATAAAATAAATTAGCTGTTACTACTCAAAGATCCTGGAGTCATTGTGGATAGTTCTCTGAAAACATCTGCTCAGTTGCAGCAGCAGTCACAACAGCCAACAGAACATTAGAAACCAAAGGGATAGAGAAGACAGAAAATATAATGCCACTATATATAAAGCCATGGTACATCCACACCTTGAGTACTGTGTGCACTTCTGGTCACCCAATCTCAAAAAAATGTATTAGAATTGGAAAAAGTACAGAGAAGGGCAACAAAAATGATTAGGGGTATGGAACAACTTCCATATGAGGAGAAAAAAAGACTGGGACTATTCATCTTAGAGATAACTATAGGGGGACATAGTAAGAGACCTATAAAATCATGAATGGTGTAGAGAAAGTAAATAAGGTAGTGTTATTTACCTCTTCACATAAGTACCAGGGCTTACCCAATGAAATTAATAGGCAGCAGGTTTAAAACAAACAAACACACACACAATCAACCTGTGGAACTTATTGCCAGGGGATATTGTGATGCCCAAAAATGTAGTTGGGTTCAAAAAAGAGTTAGATAAATTCATAGAGGATGGATCCATCAATGGCTATTAGCCAAGATGGTCAGGGATGCGACCTCATGCACTGGATGTCCCTAAACCTTTGACTGCCAGAAGCTGGGAGTGGACGAGGGGATGGATCACTTGATAATTGCCATGTTCCATTCAGCCCCTCTGAAGCATCTTGTGCTGGCACTGTTGGAAGACAGGATATTGGGCTAGATGGGCCATTGGTCTGACCAAGTATGGACAACATTCTTTTAATCCAGGAGTTCTCAAACTGGGGGTTGGAAGGTTATTACATGGGGGGGTCGCAAGCCATCAACCTCCACCCCAACCCCCGCTTTGCCTCCAGCATTTATAGTTATGTTAAATATATTAAGTGTTTTTAAATTTATAAGGGGGGTTGCACTCAGAGACTTGCTATGTGAAAGAGGTCACCAGTAAAAAAGTTTGAGAGCCACTGTTTTAATCCATGTTGGTTCTGGCAGCTGCTAGTCATGCTTGGGGAGCATATCTCCTGTGCCTTGTAACTGCAGGAAGATTCAAACCTGGACCCCCCCCCCCCAGTTTGTAGGCAAAGCAGCTCTATCACTTGAGACAAAAAATAAGGGCCCACCCCCACACACAGGCACACCCAAACTCAAGTTGGTCAGCTTGTCCCTGCTGCCAATTACTCTTTGCATTCTTTAGATGCTGTGGCAGTTCTTTTACACAGTGGTTCTCTCTCCTTCATATAAAGTGACTGAGTCACAATGAATCCTGTCATGTTTCAATGCTCAAAACTACATATATACATGTAAATGAAAATATTTTTCTACTAGGAAATTATACTCAAGCGGTTTTATTTTAGCCTGATACTTTGTTATGGGTCTTCCAACTACTGACAGCCTGGTTTGGAAGTTAGTAGATATTCACCAGCTGGATTTCTCACTCTGTCTACTGCTGTCTAATTAATTTGTCTACAGAATGAGACAGTTTCAATAGTTACCGCTAAAACAAGTCTGACTTGGGGAACCTCTCTCTTTTATAAGGCTTTGGCATACCTGTTTGCATGAAGTTTAGGTTCTGAATTCATCAGAACATTTATGCTGTGATTGGATCTGATCCTCATGTATACACTGCATTCTAAGGAAAGTATGATGTTAGTCTGCAGTGACCTACTGGTTGAATCAGAGTCCCATTGATTGACCTGTGGCTGAGAATATGGAGGATCAAGCTGTATTGAAATACAGAGTAAAATCTGAATGCTGGATTAGATTTTGTTAATTACATATGATCTAAAAAATCAGATTCTCGCTTGGTTTCTCCGTTGGAGTTCTCTACGTGTGTGGTATAAATATGCATTGCTCTAGACTAAGAATTTTACTGAAAATCTTATAGTCCAAGAAAAAGCCAGATAACCTCTTAAAGGTGATTTGCAAAGCTTTTCTGCATTTTTGTTCACTTTAGTTGACAATACGCATGGTCTAAGAAGATCCACTTCTGCTTGATTTTTGTCAAACACCCCGCTTTCATGATTTAAAAATGAATGAAGTAGCTTCAATACTTGCGCTAGGGAATCCCAAAACAGAGGTTCTTAGGTTCAGCTCCCTGCTTTCATTACTGCTGTTTGCATAATAAGCAGATGCAAAAACCATTGCCCTGTCTCACTTTTTAATACATTACTGCCTCTGACTCAAAGGTGGGAGGCAAAAAGCCTCAGACTAAGGGCATGTCTACACTAGAAAGCTGCAATGCTTTAACTGATATAATTTTAAACCAATGTAGATAAATCAGTGCAAAAAGGCTGCATGGACACTTACTTTGATTTAAACCAGGTTTATTTTGTTTTATCCTAAACTGATAAACCACTCAATGTGAAAGAACATCCACCCAGGGATTTGCATCAGTTTAAAAAACTAATTTAAGATAAACTCCTGCAAATTCCCCATGTGGACATGTTTAGAGCAGTTAACATTATAAGCTTACTAATTTAACACATCCATGAAGTTTCTGATGGAACTATTTAACAGAAAATGAAATTACAAGTGGCTAAGGCCTACGTCATGTGTGGAAGAAGAAATAAGAGAGAATTTTTTTTAAAAAGGAGTTACATGATGTATGACAGTAATAGAAAAATTCAAAAGCTTTACAGATCACCTTTAAGACTTCAAGTAGAGGAAATTTGCATTACAGGAGTAAAGCATACCGTAAAAAAAAGGGCAAAAAATTTCTTCACTTGTTTTTATGCATTCTTAGCAATACTCCAGTGTTTTTATCCATAGATCTCAAATATAACTGTTCTCATTTTACAGATTGGGAAACTGAGACACAGAGAGGAGCCAACTTACCCAAGACCACAAAGAAAGTCAGAGATGGGAGAAAACAATTCTCCTTACTCTGAGTCTAGTGTACGCTGACCCATGCTGTTCCCCAAGATCTTGCAAGACTTAAGTCAAACCCAAGTGTTGAGTGACACTTACTGTCCAATACAAATCTTCAATAAGATCTGCACAAGAACTGTTTTCTATTAGATGAGAAAAAATGAACGCATCCTCTTGGAGAGGAATTGAAAACAGACGTACTACCAATATCACTTCATGTTCAGCCTATGACAAATCTATCCATGCCCTAACATTTGTTCCCAAAGTTAAGTGCAGTGGTCTCTTCCCTCCTCTTTTCACACACTCTAAGAACACCATTCGCTCCCCTTCCAAATGGGTCAGGTTGGCAACTACAGCAGCAAGACATGCTCAGAAGCCCTTCCTTTGCAAATGACTGCAAGACAGCATAGATACTCCTCTCCAAGGAGTGTAATCCCACTTAGTTTCATACTGCAATCAGAGCACCACTTTCCAATTTCTTCTGCCACTACTAGTTAGGTTTAGGGATAGTCAATTCTCATGTTCAATACAGACAGAAGCTCGGTTTTACCAAAGAAAACTGCCCTCCTGAATTCCTCTCTCCTGCTTGTTGATTTATTACACATACGCTAACCTCAATCTACAGCAGAGTTTGATAACAATTTATTTGAAAGTCACCGAGTAAGAAAGGACTTTACAGCTTTAATCAATGAGGTAAAGGTCAAATAAGATTTCCTTTCAGGGAAATGGTGAGTCCCTGTAAAGTCTGATTTAGGAGAATCTAAAAGGCACCTGTGATCAAGCAGCAGCAGATCACCACTTTTGCAGGGGGCTAAACATGGTCTGCTTACTTCAGAATATTTCTAGAACATCTGTTTGTTTAGTGCTAGCAGCTTGCCCAGCAACAGTGACTGAGGGATGTATTTACAATACACTCGTCAGCCTTAACTGTGCATCAGGAAGGATAAACATCTTACCAGGCGACTGTGATACTAAGGGAAATTTGTAGCTGGAGGAAAGTGCAGATCACTAGAGACAAACTGATTCTGTTTGGGAGTGCTGAATCACAAGATCCTCAGGCACAAGTCAGCTGCAATGAAGGATTAAATAATGGTGGAGGAACCCCACCCCCCCACCCCATCTTCCAAACTCCTTGTTTGCAGGTACAAGTTCATTCCAAAGAACAGATCATAAAACCAACAATAGTAAAAATTTGTTTTAGTGATGTCTGTTTCATCAGATGTACAGGAAAGCTCTGCTCCCCAGAAGTTCAAGTCACTTTTTTGCTCACATTGGATAGCAATTTGACTTCTTCCTGGAGAAGGAACAGTACTAAATCCATCTCCCTCAGGCATGATTTCTCCTTGAAGGCAGAAGAAGTTAGCAGACAGGAGATGTAATGTCACATTGCTCAGTTCCAACAGTCTGCAAGAACAAACGTTCAGCATGGCGCAGGAGACAAAAACCTAAAATCCTCATATGGACCCTAGATGACAAGGAGGAAAAGAGATTTATCAGCTTTGTTAAGAACATGACAAGTACAAAAAGTGTCTGGCTTCTAAGGAAGAGTTCAGTGAGACTGCTGATGTCTAAAGAAAAATTCAGTGGCAAACCTAAGAAATATCAATCCAGTGCTGTCTTATTTATATGGTGCCCAGAAGAGTTGTAAGTGCTTTGCTTGCAAGCTAAATATCCCCACATTGACAAACTGCTAGCTTTTCACTCCAAGAGCTTCAATTACCCACTGCTCTGACAGTCATTTCTGTACAATCAATAGTCAAGTATGAGGCCAGTGCAAGATATTTTTAAGAAATAGATGGTATGAATAATTTGCAGAACCCACAGCAATCAACACCATGGTACATGAAAGAAATAACCACTCCACACCTGACTAGTTCAGCTGACGTATGAGCTTGTTGATTCCCTCGCCTCGGTACCCAGGTTCACCTATCTCCTTGAGGAAACCCACTTTGTTACGTGCAGCATGGCGAGCAACAGAGAGATGAAATGGCCATAAGAAATTAGTGATTTCTCGGAAATGCTGCCCAGCTGAATAAATTTCATGAATAAGATCTTCCAGGCAAATGACATCAAACTTCCCTGGGGGAGGAAGGGCATAAATAAATAAATAAATAAAATAAATAAAAGGAGATGCACAACTATAAAATCCTTCTGCACCTCACCAGACTACCCTCACATTTCCACATGGATAATTCCATCTTCTCTCAATGAGTCGCAGTCTCCCCATATATCGCAAACCATTTAAGTTAGACCCCCCCACCTAAGTTCCTTTTAAGCTGCACAGCAGCCTATTTAGTGCCACACAGGTGCTCAATGAACTCGCCTGGGGACCAGCTGGGGGAGGGGCCCCCCTCCCCCGGCCCCCAACGTGCTGCGGCTGGGACAGCCCAGACCTGCCGTGGCCAGGGCGCCCCTCCACGTGGCCCAGACCCGCTGGGGCCAGGGAAGGGGCGCCTATCTTGCAGCCCCAGCCCCAAAGCTGCTGCAGGGAGATAGAGCTGGGGGAGTCCTCTCTCCCCCCACTGTAGCCCCGGAGCACTCTCCTGCACCCCAAACCTCTCATCCCTGGCTTCACCCCAGAGCCCACACCCCCAGTCATAGCCCTTACACCGCCGCATGCCAACCCTCTGCCCCAGCCCTGAGCCCCTCCCACACTCAGAACCCCTTAGCCCCATCCTCACCACATGAATTTTGTTATGTACACCAATATGAAGGTCATGTGTCACACATCACCTCCATATTGGTGCACATAACAAAATTCATTCTGCATATGGATGGGAAAAATTAGAGGGAATACTGGTCCCCAGTTTCCTCAGTTCACTGCCTTTAGGTCCTCTTCCTCACCTAGATGCTCCTCTATCAGAGTGTTGTCTGTCAAAGGGACCTTCTTCTTGTTGATCTTTGCTTGACCTCGTTTCAAGATGAGCTCTCGTACAGATTTCAGATTGGGATGTCTGTACAAAATCAAATACCTGGTTGTTACTGCGGGAGGTATTAACAGTGCAGCACAGAGTTAACCAAGGGGATCTCCTACATCACTGTCATGTCACAGAATAAGAAGTGCTAGTATTTGAAGCATATTTAGAGAAAAGGGTCCCAACACCTTTTTTAGATAATCAAGACACCAAAGTTGTGAACTGAATTGAAAGAGCTAACTAACCAAGAGGAAAATAACTACATAAAAAAGCCACTATGAATAATATTTACAGTTTACCACTGTATTATGAAAATCAGAGGATTACTCACCCCCATGCTACATAGGGCTCCACAGTGCGCAGCATCTTCAGTGAGGCTGGAGTCAGTTTAATGAATGTGCCACTGAAAATCTTCCTCAACCGCAGCATCTCTATCACCCTCCGCACCCTTGGACTCACCCCTTTAATCCTGAATTAGAGAAACCACACTGGTAAGAGTACTTCTCCCACCCAGGCATCACCCCATGATCACTTGTAGGGGGCTGAATCTTGATAACCCCCGCCTTTTCCTTTCCACTGCAGCAAGTGTAGACCAGGAAATGAGCCTGGGCAAGTACAGGGAAAACCAGCAAAAGGAAGTAAATGGTATCAAAGAAGAAGTTCCTTACTCTGCAATCCGTACAACAAAGGCCAACTTCTGTCCCTGAGGTAGAACCATTTGGCCAGGCTTCTGTTCCATGCGCTTCAACCGGACCTCATCTCTGTGTTTGCGCCGTGAATCTCGAACAAATGTCTCAATACGTTTAAACTGTATCTGCTTCCCCTTCTGGTGCTAAATACAGAAAGATGAGAGATGATCAGCTCTCTCAGAAGGTGTATATGAAAGAAAGGGCCAGCGGCAGGGAGGCCGACCCCCCCCCCCCCCCCCCCCGGCTGGCCTTGCGGCCATCGGCGGCTACTTCCTGGGTGCAGCATGGTCCGTGGTGCCAGGACAGGCAAGACACCTGCCTTAGCACCCCCGCTGACCAGGAGCCACCTGGGGTAACCCTGTGCCCCAGCCCTGAGCGCTCCTCCCTCCCCAATACACCTCCGCCGCAGGCATCAACCATTTTCTTGAACTGGGTCGCCAGAAAAAAAAGTTTGAAAATCACTGCTCTAATCAAGCACTCATTCTCTGTCCCAATTAATAATTATTTCATACAAAGTAAGAACAGCTTCAACAGGAGAGACTGAGATAGCCACTCCAGAAAACCCACTAGCTGGAAATTATGGCACTCACCTGGAAGATGAAATATCTGGAGTTCAATTCCCTGACCCAAATCAGGCAGATAGAGGTACTGACCCTGGATTTCCCACATCCTGGGCAAGTGCTCTAACTACTGCACATGGGGGTGCAGAAGAGAAAGATATCACTCCCTCCTCTATTTTTCCTTGAGAAATGATTGCTTAGGCTTGTAACTCCAAGAAAGGGGTCATGATTGCTAATCCTGAGCAGAGACTGGCCCAGATTTAGGAGCCTAAGGAAGGTTCTTAAGTCCCTTTGACTTCTGGGGCTTCTGTGCAACCTGTGAGCTCTCTACAGACCATAGGTAACTAGTCCATAAACCACAATGTGGGAACCAAACATGTTTTCTGCAACACTTCTTTGTCCAGTGTAGACAGGTTTTGGCTGGCAATTCAGCTTGGTACTACAGCTAGGTAAACTACAAATAAAATCCTCAAGCCACGGATACACGTAGCAATTACAACAGCCACCCCCCGCTCCCTTACAGCAATCCCTTATCCTGTGCGTTAGAAACGGTGCCTCCTCCCACATCTACACTCTCCATAGCAACCCCACCCCCCCCAACTATTAAACTACAGAAACGCTCAGATCCTTTTCCATAGGCAATAGCCCATACAAGTGCCTCCCCAGCCTCGCATGGGGACACTCCTGCAGAATGTGCTTTAGTAGCCTCCACCTCCAGGGCGAGCTGCAGAGGCAAGAGCAAAGGAGCAGCTGCCCCGGGGAGAGCGCAGGGTGCCTGCAGTCACAGGGCTCGTACCTTCCTCTTGTCCAACAGCGCCTGCTTTGCCTGGGTGGCCTTGAGGGCCTGATACGCCTTCCTCTTCTTCAGCAAGTTCTCCGGCACCAGCGGGATCTTCCTTTTGGGTCTAACGCAAGAGAACACGGCAAGCGAGACCCGTCACGCCCCCGGCCCTGCCTCCCCATCAGCGCCGGACCCGGCAGAGCTTCCTCACGGGCCCCTCCCGCTGCGCCTGGCCCGGCCCGGCCCGCGCTCAGCGCCAGGCAGATACGGGACCGCCCGCGGGAACCCACCACGCCGCGCGCACGTGCGTCCCCTCCCGCCGCCCCAACGGCACATAGACCCCTCCCCCCACCGGCGGCTTCTCGGTAGCGCTCCGGGGCCCTCCCGATCCCCGGGGCCGCCCTCCCCGGGGATGGAAACGGATCCTCCCTGCCAGCCCCCGCGCGCAAATTAACCACTCACTCCGGCTCCGCCATGTTTCCTTCTCCGCCTGAGTCTGGAGTCATGCTACTAGTGCGCATGCGGCTATTTTACCAACGAGCGCCGCACACGCAGAGAGGAGCCGCCATCACTGCGCATGCGTCCGTCAACCGCCGCCAGCAGCCTATCTATCTCCCCCGGAAGCATAGACGCTGTCTCTATGGTGTGGCTATGACGTCCAGCTGTGGGCTTGGGAGCGGAGTGGGTTTGTTGTTGAGGTTAGGGTGACCAGGTGTCCCGATTTTAGGATCTTTTTCTTATATAGGCTCCCATTACCCCCACCCCCTGTCTGGTCACCCTAGTTGAGGTTAAGAGTGGGGAGAACGCGTTCCACCGTCCGCCTCCTGCGCGGGCTCCGCGTGCAGCTGGAGCGGCGCTGGGAGCTCTGGCAGCGCACAAAGGCTTCAAAAACAACACCAGCTAGCATGCAGGTTGGGATAAAAAAAATCATGAGACTTGGTAATCTCCTGTGGGGGAGAAAGTGCAGCCTGAGAAGGCTAAAATACTGCTCTTAACATGCCTGGAAATCTAGAGGACCAGTCCTTCCAGGCATCAACCCATGCTTCAGCTGCTACTCTTTCCCTCCTGCTCAGGAGGGATACAAGTAGCCAGGAGGAAAAAGTTCGGTGAGATTTGAAGGCAATTGCAATAGTGCAAGCATTCCAAAAGGATGTCAGCCCCTTCAAAAATCATGCAATTAGCTTAAAAATCATTACATTTTAACAACATAATACATTATTTTTATTTACCTTCTGTTTTGGAGACTTTAAGATTCACTTGGGTCACATTTTCAAGTTTTTCTTCACAACAACAAGGGCTAGAAACTTAATTTTTAAAAATGAAAGCTGAGATTCTTACCTAAATACATGCTTCCAGGAGCAGGGGCTTTAAGAAAAGCACCAAATATTGTGAGGAGGAGTATGGGAAACAATTGGGGAGTGTGTTTTGGGAACCACACAGCCTTAGTAACTGAAGTACCTACAATGCCTGTCTCAGCCATGGGGCGACTAGCATGCTACCAGCCAAGGTTTGGTGCTCCTGCATGCTGATGACTCCACAAAAGAGTGATGCCTATGCCTGGAATAATGTAACAATTATATTAACAAGTTCTTCAGGGCAGATGCTATGTGTCTTTCTATGTGTTTGTATGGCACCAAGCAACCTGTGGCTCTCTTATTGGAGTCATTAGCTGTTAAAATACTAATGTGTGTTCCTTGCCCTTTTTACTTCTAAATCCCACCATCTGTCCTAAAGTTCAATTTCCCCTCGGCCTCTCTGTAACTCATCACTACAGTCATCACTGATTATCCCACTAGGGAATGTATATACTTTCCAAACCATGGAAAAAATAAAGAAGCGTCTCTCTGCACCATATAATCAAAGAGACAAGGTGGGTGATAATATCTCTTACTGGACCAACTTTTATTGGTGTGTCTTTCACCAACAGGCGTTAGTCCAATAAAAGATATTACCTCACCCACCTTGTCTCTAATAGCCTGGGACTGACATGGCTACAATAACACTGCATATCATATAATCAAAGTCCTTTGGGGCATCCTATCTAATTGCAGTATGATAGACACCAAGACCTTGAAATCTAATAATTTTCAAGCACAAGTTGAAAGTTAATATCATTACAGGTATTACACCTACCTTTGAATCCTGATGCTAGCTTTTGTGCTATAATACCCAAACAAAATCACTTTTCTTTTTCTGTAAGAGGCAGACATATTTACAAATGCTTCTTGCTAATTTATGAATATTGCTATTATCTTTTAACAAAAAGACAATTGTACATACAATACAACAAGCATTATAAGTTCATAGATTCCAAGGCCAGAATGGACCATTGTGATCATCTAGTCCAGTGGTTTTCAACCTGTGGTCCGCAGACCGCTGCGGGTGTGCTGACTATGTCAAAAGGATCCGCAAAAGATTGTGTTACCATAGAACAGTGGTTTTCAATGTGTGGTCTCTGGACCTCTGGGGGTTGAAGACCACGTCTAAGATTTCCAAAGGCATCCGCACCTCCATTCAAAAATTTTAGGGGTCTGCAAATGAAAAAAGGTTGAAAACTGCTAAGAGTCGTACTTACTGTGTAACTCATGCCATAGAACGTCCCCAAAATTATTCCTACAGCACGTATTTTAGAAAAAACATCCAATCTTTATATAAAAATTGCAGTGATGGAGAATCCACCACAACCCTTGGTAAGTTGTTCCAATGATTAATTACCCTCACTGTTAAAAATGTACACTTTATTTCCAGTCTGAATTTGTCTAGCTTCAACTTCCAGCCATTTTATCGTGTTATACCTTTCTCTGCTAGATAGAAGAGCTCATTATCAAATATTTGTTCCACATATAGGTACTTATAGACTGTCATCAAGTCTCCCCTTAAACTTCAACAGCCTATAGTGTTAACCTCTTGCCATGAATTAATTGCTCAGTTATTCAGCATTCATTCAGCTGACTGCACCCTTTCACTTAGCTGAACAGAGGATTAGAACAGAATGAAGATTTTTTTTTTTTTTGCACCTTTCTTTTCCTGACAAGTACAGACGTGTTAGATGAACATTCGTTTCCATCCCGGAATTTTAATCACATTAAGTGTCTCACTCTGCTGGGTGTAAATTAAAGTGTACTTCTATTCTTAAATTTCCCTTACAGTCCCTCTTTTACTATATCAAGGTAACATTTGGAGCTCCATGTCAGTAGATTCTTTAACCTCATTCTGTGAGGTTCAACATGTTCCATTCATGGGCCAGAGTTAGTGTAAATAGGTCACCCTGCTTGCTCAGCTTGACCCCTCTGTTCAGGCCTGTGTGACCTTTCCTATCCCCATCTGCTAATTGGTCTTCTAGCCTCCCCTGACACATGACATGGCTGTTGATGACATGCCCAAACACCTCCCTCCAACTTAATACTTTTGCCTTTTAGTAATTACTTGTGATTTAAGGTCGTTCCATTTATTCTCAGTCTATGTGATAAGTGTTCATGAGCAAGGTCATTTACATTTATTTTGAGATCAGGATTTGGTGAGGTGTATCAAATGCTGTACCAAAATCCAAATCTATTACATTTACCACTTTTTTGTCAACCACTAATTTATGGGGATTGAAGCTTCATGTCCTTAAATCAAGTACCACTGCCCTGATCCTCAGCATTACAGGGGTATTTCACAGTGTTTCCCCACCATTGGGCCTAATGTGGAGGGGCAGGAAACTGATATTAGTCCCAGTACTTGTATTGTGGCTGAAATATGCATGCCTTGGTGCGAGGGTGGGGATGCCCTGGACAATTTCCATGATCCCAATGTTCAGCTTTAATATCATGGTTAATGCAGCGGCACATGATATGTGATTGTCCTTGCTGTGGTAAGTGCTTTGCTGGCATTGCAGAAACCACTGTGATTTGAGGGAGCCATATGTATAAGCCACCATTCTACATCTAAAGCAACTGTTTTTTGAGTAATGTGCATGCAACTTCTGCATATGCAGACTTGCCTCATGTACCATTCCATTTTTTAATTTCCACTTAAAAGAAAAGTTTGATTATGTCTTTTCTGAACGTCCTGTCCTTTTACTTCTAGTTATGAGCCAAATTCTTTTTATTTGGGCTGTGTAAAAAGCCACTGTTTCCACTGTGCTATTTTCAACCCTTAGTTTTAACCAATCATCTTTTTTTCTGCAGTGTACAGAAGTGTCATCTCAATTTCCTCATAAATCCCACCCCTTAATCCTAAACTAAATCTAGTTTCCATTTTTATGCTTATTAAGCTGAAATTAGGGTGACAGAAGCTCGAGTCTTAATAGTTTTGGTCTATTGCATTTCATTAGGGTTTAAGAAAGTATATGTAGTAATGCAATATATAGCAAAAGCACACTGGTTTTTTATTATTTATAATTTTTATTAATTTTTCCAAATTAATATAAATACCACATATACCAAAATGCCAGAGTCATCATAATACACAAAATAAATAAAGAAGGTTAGGATAAAAGGAGGGGAGAGGAAGCAACATATCTATCTTCAAGGTCTGTGTTAATCATAGACCTCTAAAATGTCAGCTCAAATTGCTTTGAATTTTTCAGGCATTCCCTTTCTCCAGAATGCAAGTTGTTCGTTAGCTGTGAGGTCGGCCATATTACTCAGCCAGGCATCAATATTTGATGGGGACTGACTTTTCCAGCTTTGCAGGATTAATTTTTTAGTGAGCAAAGCTACACATTAGTACCACGCAGCCTTGTTACCAGGTAATCTCCAGGTATCAGGAATATATCCAAGAATGGAATTTAAGAGGGAGGGCTCCAACTTAATATCCAATATCAAATTAGTCCTTTGACCCAGCTCATACCAGAAAATCTCAATACAAGGGAACTCCCAAAACATATGAGCTAATGTAGCACCAAAGGAGTTACATTTCCAACAGTGGTCAGCATTTATGAGGTCCATTTACCATTAGCCTATGTGCGGATCAGTATATTCAAAAAAGTGTCTTTTGGTAAATAAGCCGCATCCCCTGGTCTATAGCTACTTTTTTAACATTAGACACAATTGTATTCCATTGGGTCAGAGATAATTGTGTATCCAAAACTCTATTCCAAGAAACTCTCAAATTACCAATCTTTGGCTGAGTTTTTTGGGCCAGAAAATCATAAAAGGATACCACTGGCTGAGAAAATCCGGGAAGTTTCCTTCAAAATTATAAAAGTTCTGGAGGTTCTTGAGCTCCCAATGCATCCAATCCAAATATATTTTTAAGTAAATACTTTAACTGGAGATATTTGCATGCCCCAGAGCAGGGCAAGCCAAACTGTTGCTGAAGATCTACAAATGGTTTAAATGTATCATCAGTTAGCTACAATACAGTTATAATTCCTCTGTCTGTCCAATCCCGCCACATCAAGGTTTCATCACCGATTTTAAGGATAGGATTGCTCCACAGGACTGCCTCTGCATGGAAGACTGGATGGATGCAGAATTTTTTAGTCAAGTTCCACCACACTTGCCTCACAGCCATTATTATGGGAGCTCTGGAGCCAACAAATCTGAAATAATTTGACCCTACAATGCCTGCAGGGCCGGCTCCAGGCACCAGCCAACCAAGCACGTGCTTGGGGCAGCACCTGGTAAGGGGCGGCCAATCTTGGGGTGGCAGGGGGCGGCGCGGCGCTCGGCGGGGGGTGT